TCTCTCTCTCTCTCTCTCTCTCTCTCTCTCTCTCTCTCTCTCTCTTTCTCTCTCTCTCTCTCTCTCTCTCGCTTTCGTTCTCTTTCTCTCCCGACAATTTCGACAGAAACAGGTTAGCTGAATGAGCTATAGGGCACTGGGTATGTAGGTAAGCAGTAAGTCCATTACTGAGACAAGTGATTCCTTCAGATAGCTGCTAACTACTGCTTTTATCGATCGCTAATAACATAATCGATTCCTAAGTGCTGTGCGTTTTTATTCGTCCCTCCTTGGGCTCATAGGGTCTATGTCCCCCAGGGAACAGCCGGAACGTACCCTGGGTACGGTCTGGTATACCGGAACGTACCCTGGTCACTATCTAGCTGATATGGTTAGGGTTAGGGTTAGGGTTAGGGTTAGGGTTAGAGTTAGGGTTAGGGTTAGGGTTAGGGTTAGAGTTAGGGTTAGGGTTAGGGAGTAGGGGTAGGCGACTCTCTAGACTCGTTAGTGGAGTAAGCGAGGTACGGTCCGGCATATTAGATAGTAGTATTTAGTACCAGGGTACGTTCCGGTATACCGGACCGTACCCAAGGTACGTTCCGGCAGTACCCTGGGGGACATAGACTCTATCAGCCCTACTTGGGTGAGGTAGCGCAGCATTCGAATGTTAATTTACCACGCGTTAGAATAATTTTAATTACTAACATCTTCGCATGCTATGCAGCTAAGCATTTAAATCTTTCGCGAGACATCTTACGTTGTCGTAATTAGGTTGATGATAGTGATAGCGAGAGTGAAGTCGAGTCAATCATTGCAGATAAAAACGTCGACCTTCAAATCTCGAAGCGTGTGCATTATCTATTTAACCAAGCCTATAACACCAGAGATGCCAAACAATCTTATTATAATGTCTCGATAATCAGCGAAAATATCTGCGGATTTTATAGTGAATCGTTTTGCGTGACGCGTTGCATTGATGCTATCTGAGTAGCGTTCGAAACACAATGCGCATGCTGCGGTTACTGCGGTATGCTATGGTGGATTGCGAGTGTAATCTGCCATTGTTACTATATTATGGTTTAGGCGCGCGTTTCATCTGCTATACAAACACATTGAAACCTCTGTCTAGCGCGCTAACACCAAAGACCCTATATACTATGTATGTATATATATATATATATATATATATATATATAGCGTCTATACTATCACCGACGATGATGGTTCGGTAAATGCGCTTTAGAAAAGAGAGGGTGGAGAGCAACGAGAGAAAAATTAGCAGAAGACAACAACGCGCGCAGATTAAAAAACAACCCTTAACGGTTCCGTAATGACACAAACACGATTCCACGCCATTAGAACGAGTATTGTTCAATATCAACATCTCTGTTGGCAACGTTAACAAACATTAGATATGAACAGTCATAAAGCCACCCTCTTCTTATAACGCAAAGATCTGATAATCACCACCAACTATGAAACCGCGCACGCGAAGCCAGTCTGACTTACCCGATTTCGAAGATTGCGAACGCAGAAATGAATCACCGTAAATGTTTCCCTGGTTTCGGAGTCGTCCTCGCGCGGAGTTTCGAAGCGGAATTTGGGGCCGAGATGCGGAGACAGCAGGCCCGCACGCATATATATACGCAGGGATGCGCCCTCGCCACGCTCCGATTGCGTCCCTGAGGCCGGGTGACAAAGTGCAGCCGAGGGATCATGGCGGACCGAAGGTCGCTCGCTCTCTCTCCCGCACGACTTTCGCCGACTTTCGCAGCCACCTCCGGCCGTCCTCGTATCACACTGTCCACTGTCCTCGCGTTGTTGTCCCCTGTCGACCTTCTGCCACCGCGGACAATGCATTAACCCTTACGGCAGACGAGTAGCGATTATGCGATGGGTGCGGGTGGAGGTGGGGGTATTATACACACACGCTTCCCGGTTAACCACAGAATGACTTGAGCCTTGACCGGGGTGACGATTTCTAAGCGTGACTCTAACAGTGAACACGGATTCTATACATGCGTGTTACATGGAAGGCATATAACTGATAGGTAGTATAGTACGTGTCTGCGTATCTATTGTCCGGTCTACGTGCATAATGCACCCTATTCTACCGACCAATAACGATTGTTTTAGTGGATGTAAAACTGATCGAGTCTTATCACCTATATTGGTTCATATACTTTTAGTTCATATGAGTTTTTTAAACTGAGGTAAATTCTTTGCAGATGCGAGCCAATGTTTAACGTGTTTGTCATACCGCATATATATATATATATATATATATATATTACGTTGCTATAATTATAATCTGTTGTCATCTAAATTCTGCGTGATAAAATAAACCGCGTATCATAATAAGCAGTTGTTGTTGTTGTTAATATTATTATTTACACCATGCCCTTTATGTGCGGCATGTGTAGATGTCGGATGCTAGATGTGTTATGTCCATACATATTCCGAATTATAGCCAGCTTTCGGGGGTCAAGCATGTACGCCATTAAGTTGGCGTGCCCATTAGCACCTAATTTGGTGTTCAGAATATCCAGTTAACATACAGAAATAACATTACATAAGAAACTATGCGTTTTAGAATCACTGAGTTAGAAAATCACACTTTCTGTTTAATTAATAATCTTTAGTTATAGCAAACCCAATCGTGTGTACAAAACCATCCTAGCTCGCAATACGCGCATGACTTGCGTTATAACGAATGCGCTATCATATTTGCATATTTCCCGGCCTAGAATAGCGAGCTGAGCGAACGTACGACACACACATGCAAATGAAGATGTGTGTGTGTGTGTGTGTGTGTGTGTGTGTGTGTGTGTGTGTGTGTGTGTGTGTGT